CAATGTGCATCAGTACAGCCACGACGGAGAACAGTACGGAGATTCCTCCAAAAATTAACAATAGAACTGCCATGTGATCCAGAAATCCCACTAGTGGGTATACACATCCAAAGCAAATGGAATCAGTGTCTGGAAGAGGTAGCTGCACACCCATGTTTACTCGGCACAGTTCACAATAGCCAAGACATGGAATCAACGCAAGTGTCCATCAACAGGTGAATGGATAAAGAAAATGTGTGGTGTCTGTGTGTATATACAAACTTTAACATTTTAAAGCTAAAAATAAAACTCAACAAGTATTCACTTTAAGTAACTTTGGACAGAAAGACCCAAACCACCAACCATGGATTGAGAAATAGATCCTTTAAAATGCAGAAGAATCATGAGACAGTAAGATATCTAAAACTAGTAAATCCAATTAATATGCTAGCCTCTTGCAATTTTTTTAAATGTTTCTGCCTTATATAGGGTATGCATGGTGTTTTAGTCAGCTCTTGCTTGGTAACCCAAAACGAACGGTGAATTTTAAATTTAAGGACAAACAATGTCGGGGCTGGGTGGGAAGGGGGGAATCCTCCACTGCCTACGAACTTCATTCATTCTTAAAGCCAATGTATGATTTTTCATCCTCTGTAATAATTGTTACAAATTGTGTCATTTTTAAAATAAATTTAGGCAGGATTCAATATAATCAACCTCTGATACTTTCAAAGGGACGGCGACCTGTGATTATATATGGCTGTTTTTTTTTCTGGGCATGTGTTGTTTTGCAGGAAAATGATGGCAGTCTGCTAAATCCCCTCTATAATATGATCACTCAGCTGGAGTCTGCCGGAGCCAGGACCCATGGCACTTCTTGAGCCTTTGTTGTGTAGTTGTGTGTGTACACCTGGCGCTGGAGACACCACTGCGCGCCAGGCTTTCATCCGCGCATTGTGTTGTATGTGTCGAGTTGTATAGGTCCATGCTGTTGTGTTGTTCTGTGTTCTTTCACATGCACGGAGCTGCGCAAACTTACTGGCCGCACTGATGAAAGTACATAAATTCTGTGTGCAGATAAAACGTGACAGGGTCAAGAGTCTATTTGTAAAAAAATAAGAAAAGTACAAGAGCACCAGATACTCCAAGCATGCCTGAAGCCAAATTTTCCGGTCAAATCATAATCAATTTGTACAATACGAGGTTGAACCTAAGTTTGGTGAAAAAGAACGCAACAGTGAGACGTGTATTAATAACTCACAGATTCCGCTGTGCAGTGGGTCACTCATGGGCTATAGCTAGTTTGAAGTTGGGAGTAAGAATGAATCACTGCCTGGCCACAAAGGCTTATCTATCCATACCCCCCAATAAAAAATACAGACACTGCATTTTGGAGCCTGGGGAAAACCAGGCTGTTTGGAACTGACAAACTCCTCAACTCAAACATCAGGCCTGAATTTCTGGCTCTTCAATAACAAGTCCACACTACGGCTGGCTCAGGCCCTGGGCTGCCTGGCAGAGTAAGATCTTCGCAAGCTAGCCTGCAGCACCCTGCATGCTGAGGGAAGAAAAGCAATATTTGGGGGGTAAAGTCAGAAAAATAGTGAGTATGAAACCAGCATGTAATTATTAGCCTAATAAGCAGCTCTCAACTGACGCTCAGTTTTTCATTATACTACGGTTAACCACCTCCCCAATCTGGTTCTCTATGGCCCCCAAAGAGAAAGTTTACAAATAAATTTGGCCCACATTTAAATGAGAATAATATCATTTAATATTTGGATAGCACTGTACTTTTATTCCCATTATCCCTTAGTGCAGCTGAAAATTGAGCAGGTTTCACATTTGATCTCGAAAGTTCTGTCCAGGGCAGCTTGCTACTTCTCACGCACGTCCTTTTCAAGGGTGGTACTCACCATGGCCAGGTCTAGGATCCACTTCTGCAGGGTGAGGATGAACCAGGAACACACCAATCTTTCCCGGTGCTAAGGCAGACAGCAGTGGGGCACCTGGCAGGACCACCCTCCCGTCCCACCCAAACAAACCAAGACCACAGAGAGCCGCACACGGAAACCAAGCGTGGAACTGGGGGTGGTTCTGCTAGCACTTGTCAACTTTGGAGAAGACAGAAAGGGTTTCTGAGTGAACATCTGCTCAGAGTTCAAAAGAACAAAGCAGATTTTGGGAGAAAAACGCAAAGACACCTGTGTGCTCGGGCTGTTCCCTGGGACTGGGAACATCCTGATGGTTGTAACACCCGCTCAATCCCTCACCAGGCAGCGGTCTCAATTCACTGTCAAAAGTCAAGCACTTAAAAGGGAGGGCCCACACTGCAGAGTAGGAATGTTCTGCGAAACTGGGGTGATGTGGACCTGTCCACCGATCCCCGTCCCACCAGCTCCACCCTAGAAACGATGCAGCTGAGTGACGGCTGAAGAGGGCGCTGGAACGGCCGGCCAGGAGTCTCGGGACTGCCCTTAACCAGGCACTTCCGTCTCTTGACCTGCTTTGTCTATCTGTAACGTGCACCTAGCATTCTTGCCCCGTCTACCTGCTGAATGCCAACAGCCACGTCACTGGGACTCAAGAGATCGCCGTGATTATAACTAACACCATTAATTAAATGAAGGGATTGAAATGTATGGCGCCCTGTGCTAAAAGTCAGCAGAACTGAATATTAGCAGCCTGGTCAATGCCAGGTGGCAGCCTGAATCCAGCTGGATGAATTGTTTTCAAAACAGTCTATAACTCAATTTTTTTTTTTTTTTTTTGAGACAGAGTCTCGCTTTGTTGCCCAGGCTAGAGTGAGTGCCATGGCGTCAGCCTAGCTCACAGCAACCTCAAACTCCTGGGCTCAAGCAATCCTCCTGCCTCAGCCTCCCGAGTAGCTGGGACTACAGGCATGTGCCACCATGCCCGGCTAATTTTTTCTGTATATATTAGTTGGCCAATTAATTTCTTTCTATTTATAGTAGAGATGGGGTCTCGCTCTTGCTCAGGTTGGTTTCGAACTCCTGAACTCAAACGATCCGCCCGACTTGGCCTCCCAGAGAGCTAGGATTACAGGCGTGAGCCACCGCGCCTGGCCTCTAACTCAATTTTTTAAGTTGATTTTTGTGATTTTCTTTTTGCCCAAGTCTATACCATCCCACCTCCATGTACTCGAAATATATATTTTATAGAATTTGAGTGGCAATAGGAGCTACTGAGATGCTACAGAGGATTTCTTTGTAGGGTTGCCAGATTTGGCAAATAAAAATACAGACACCCAGTTTAATATGAATTTCAGGTCAACAACAAATAATCTTTAAGTATATAAGTATACCCATGCAGTACTGGGGACAATCTTACACTTTATGAAATATTCGTTGTTAATACAATGACCCTACTTATTTGCTGTCCATGAGGCACGACTGACAGGTTATAAACACCTGCTGACAACAGACTTGCCCTGAGCACCCACGGCTCTGAATAACTTACCCTCAGCACCCACACCGTACCTTCAGCCTCACCATTTGCACAGAGAAGCTGTTGCATTTTATTTCAAAAGTAAATTACATGATGCTTTTCATCTGCAATGCACTGTTCTCAAAAACCTTTACCCAGCTGGGAATGACCGTGATCTGCGGAGGTGCAGCACGCGGGGCACCCCCTTTCTGCAGAGCCAGGGAGCTTGCGGCTCAGTGAGACCATGGAGGGCCCCGCCGCGCCAGAGCCCAGCTGCCCCTGCAGACCCGGGCTGCAGAGCCGCCTTGCAGTAAACCCAGCACTACGGCCCTGGCATTTACTCAGCTGCTCTGTGTTGCTGGTACTTCCTTTTGCACAACTCTAAAGGTAGATGTCATTATCCCATCTTGCAGATGGGGAGCTGCAGCTCAGAGCATGGGGTGGGGCTGCCCTGTCTGATTCTGGGCCAGCTGCTTCCCGCCCCCCAACACCCACGTCCCCAACACCCACGACCTCACAGGCCACATCCCCACGGGCTGCTCCTTCCCTCCTTCCTCCTACCTAAACAGCTCAGAGCCTGTCACAGCCGCAGCGGGACCCTGCCTGCCCATCCTGCCCTGCCATTCACAAAACTCCCGCCTTCTAAGCAGCGTGCAGTGTAGTGAGAGAATCTGGGCAAGTCTTTACAAAGAGTGGGAACAAATACTCGCCCTCCTACATGGGAGCCACCCCTTGAGCCTCCTGGCCACGCTGACGCTGGGACCCCAAGGCTACGCCTCCAGACCACTGTCTGGACCAGGAGCAGAACCCGCTGGGGCCCAGCCGAGGGAGCCCAGGCCGCCCGTGCCTGGCAGCGAGCGGCTGGTAATGGGCGTGGCCGCACAGTGATCAACACCAGACATCCTTGTTATCAAGGTCTCTGGGGCTATTTTCAGAAAAGGAAAAAATGTCCAAGATAAACCAGTACCGTTGTGCCATGCTGCCCTGAGCAGGGGCTGACTGTGCGTTCCAGCATGCTCGGCAGTGCCATGCTAAGGCGACACTCCACTCGGGCCATTGGCACAAGCCAGGCGCCCTGGCCGTGGCGGGGAGGCCGCTGCCAGGGACTGTACCGAGGGCACCTCTGGTCCGTGTTGATACATCTGCATTTGGGATTCTTCTCTAGTGTAACCAAAAAACACATATCTGGTAAAGGACCCTGCTTCACGACGAGAATTGTCAGCAACCAACACGCCCAAGCCCATTTCTGACTCTGATGCCGAAAAGGATACGCAGCAATGTAGGGTGTGGCCTGTTTCATGCTCCCACTGAAGTGAAAGACGCAGAGCAGGAGGATGACGTCTGCAAGAGGAAGGCTCTGAGTGAGGGGGAGGGGAGGCGGGGGAGGGGAGGCGGGCGGGGGGGGCGTGGAAGGGACGTTGTTACCTTGCGCGATAAGGATGGGGTACTCCAGGTAGGTCAGCAGCGGGTACCCGTAGTGACACTGGTACCGCAGGAACACCAGGAACCTGGGGGAGGACGACACAGACTCACACGGCCGCCCCGCAACAGCCACCCAGATCCCAGGAGCCACGTTCCTTTGCCAAATCCTGTGAGTGGTGGCCGGGAGCCCCACTGCATGCATGGTTCTCAGTCTGATAATCTGAGCCGGACACCGTGGCTCCCTCCTGCAACACCAGCACTTTGGGACGCTGAGGCAGAAGGATCACATGAGTCCAGGAGTTCGAGACCACTCTGGACAACATAGTGAGACTCCATCTCTACGGAGAAATCAAAAATGAGCCAGGCATGGTGGCGCATGCCTGTAGCTCCAGCTACTCAGGAGGACAAGGCAGGAGGATGGCTTGAGCCCAGGAGTTGGAGGCTGCAGTGAGCTATGACGATGCCACTGCACTCTAGCCTGGGTGACAAGGGAGATCTCATTTCTAAAAAAAGAATTAAAAATAAAGAATCTGAATGATTTTAGGAGCATCCAGAACTTTCTGGGAGCTGGACCCGAGTGCACTATCCATGCTCTACCCAGTCCTTTGAGATGTCCATTGACAAAGGGTGTCCACAGAAGGCAGGTCACTGACCCTCTGCAACACGAGAGACCCGGGCCCGCCAGTCTCTAAAGCTAGGTGGTCACCTGGCCCCCAGCCACCGCCCCCCAGCTGCTGCAGGCATCACCCCGAGAAGCTGCAGAGGAGCAGGGGACCAGAGGGGGCCGGATCCACGCCTGGATGGGAGGTTCCAGACCTTGCGTGTCAGTCACAACGCCACCTGGGTGCCGCGTGCTGCCTTCCAGAAGTGCAGCCCCGTCCAGGAGACAGCAGGCGGGAAGGGCTTGAAGACCACCCTCAATCCCTCTAAGGGACTCCTGGCTCTGTGACGGCCCCACCCTCCTCGGGAGACACGCCCGAACCTCCGCCACCCCGCTCACACCCTGGCCCTGTCACCTCCCTCAGGACCTGAGTCCCCAATGTCCCCTGGGCTGCCTGTCTCTGTCCCACCACCCAGCAGTACAGTTGCCCCACAGGTGTGTTCAGTCCAGACCGCGGGGACAGGAAGGAAGGGAGCCCGCACCACGGAGCATCAACCCACACTCGGGGCCCAGGGCCTCACTCCCCAAGCTGGGGAGGGCTCACAGAAAACTGGCTTTAGCACAGAACTTGCGCCTACCCCATCCTGCTCTGACAGCCTGCAACGCCAGGCTGAATGAGGGCCGGGGAGGGGGTCACAGGAGGGGAGGTGGGGCCCAGGTGTCACCCTGAGCATGTGGGTCTCCCCCAGGCCTGGGCACCTGTGTGACCAGCAGGACCCCAGGCCTGGCTGCAGGATCCCAGCTTCAGGGGCAAGCAGGTGCCTGGCCTCCTGCGCAGCCCCTTCTGGTACCTGGGAGAGGGAGCCCAGGGGACTGGGGAGGCTGCCTCCCACCTGAAAGGACAGTCAGTCCATCTTGCTAGCAAAACAACAGAAAGATGAGCTCTCCGCTCTGTGTCTCTGACAGGCACGTTATGGAGCTCTGTTTTCACAACATCTTAAAGGAGCCCAGCAAACAGAAAGGAACTGCAAATTGTTTTCTTTTCCCATCACTAGATCACTAGACCTATGACTAAGACGGCCCTTTTACAATCTGCTTTCATAGCCTCCTGTGCTCCTGAGAAGTTCCCAGACTGACAGCAGGGACCAACTTCAGCCCTCAGATCCTGCCCCAAATCCCATCTTTCTGCCGTCAGCCTGCCACTAAGAAGAGGAGCCGTAGGACAGTTCACAGCACCCTGTTAATTTGGCTACAGCCATACATCATCTTTCGCTCTACCCACCCACCCCCTTTTTTTTTTTTTTTTTACAATTCCTAAATAAAAGGTCTGAGTAACCAGCTTTCTATGCCAACACACTCTTCCTCCCCCCCTTTCCTGTTGGCCCTTTGTCCTCCCAGGAAAAGTTAAACTTCTTTCCATCCTAATGCTTGTCCAGAGAGATCTTCCTCAAACCCGCGTGCACCAGCTGCGCACCCAGCCCTGCCCCCTCTGCAGCGCCCAGCCCGGCGGCCGCAGACCGTGAGAGAAGGCCACGGGGCCCTGGCCACCCGCACACCTGCGCTCTGTCCACGCTCCCCCGGACACAGCCTGAGACCCCAGAACCAGGCAGTGTCCCTGCTGTGCTCCCCTTCAGGCCTCACGCAAGCTGGCCTCTGCATCTTACAGATTACTTGGGGAAACTGAGGCCCAAGCAAGCCAAGCCCATACAAGAACTCAGAAAAGATGAAGAGCCTGGATGTCCTGACACCAGTCTGGGTGCAGCCATCAACATCCCCCCATCGTCTATCCCTGCTTGGCAGCACCCAAACTTCCCACGGCTCCTGCGGCCAGGGTGTGGGGCCGTGTCTTTATTTTTCAATGTTTCTTTTAACTGAAAATAGCAAAAATGCTCATTATAATAGAATCAGACCAGACGGTCATGTGACACCAGCCCCGCTAGCTTGTGTGTATTCCCTGCCTGCCCCGTGGACACATTCCAGTTTTCTGCCTCAACTCACCTGCCGCCCAGACGCAGGGAGGTGGGTAGCCCGAGACAGAGAGGCAGAGCTGGGAGTTGAACTCTGCACTTTTCCAGAAGATTCTTACCCAGAGGCCAACACTCTGCTGCCTAGAACTAAACTGGGGGAGTAGAAGGGGCCCCTGTGCTCTGGAGGGGCAGCCGTGTGGCCACTTCACACCCGCCCACACTACGGGCTCCAGGGCCTGGCCCTTGGCGTCCTCGCCCAGACTTTAGGCTCCTGGAACCCACCCACCGGTACCCCAGTGGCTTATTTATCCAAACAACTAGACACCCCTATCTGCAGCTGGCCGCCTTGCCTTAGGACACTGGGTGTGGCCGCCTCTTGCCAGGGAAGCACTAAAGCTTTCCCTAGCACAGGACCTTCATGTCTTTTCTACCCTCGCCTTCCAGATCTCCTAACTCACCGCCCTCCACACTCTTCTCTCCTCCTGGCTGGATATCATTCAACATACCCTTGCCTTCCTCTGAAATAATCCCTAATATTTCCCACTGCTTCCTCTGTGCCTCCCTCCAGGGACCCCTGCTGGCTGCTGTCCCTCTACGATATTCTAACCCTCAAAGGGATCCCTCAAGCTCCACTCTGCTCACTCTCGTTCCCCTTTAGGAACCTGAGCCCACAGGCCAACCCTATGCGGATCACCTGTGCTTTCTCCCCTCCCACACTGACCCCAACCCACGACTTCAAGGACGCCGCCTTACCAGCCATACTGTGACCACAGCCACCTCCCCTGCTCAGGGACAGTTCTTCTGGTGCAATGGAACACTCACCCGCTGTGTCAGTACATCCACCCTGGTCCTTGTCTCCCTGTCACGGTGGTCCCTCAATGAACTCTATGCGTTCCTCCAGCGCCGCCTACCAGAGCTGTCACGAGTGGCAGTAAACCAAGTACTTCCTCAGCCATGCTCCCCTCTACCAGTCGCCCCTCCACCAGCCGACCTGGCCTATAGCCCCTAACTACACCCCCACCCCACCCCCAGCAGGAAGTAGTGGGAAAGAGATGCGGCGCCCATCATAAACAAAAGGCCGGGATGTAAGGCTTGTGGTGGGCCTCCTCCCCACCCTAGATCACAAAGAAAAGGCTCACAAGACCAGACCTACCAAGAACAACTGCCAAGCACCACTGAAAACAACAACACCTGGATCCCCCCCCCCCATAAGAAAGTTTTGGTTCCTGAATTCTGCAAATACCACCAGCCCCTCCTATTTCTCAATGACTGCCACAGGTCACAGTGGAAAACCCCAGCTCTTCCCGCCAAAAGTCCCTAGCCCACCCCAAACAGCATAAAGGCCCAGCAACCCTCCAAACGGATGCAACTTCTCGGGCCCCCTCTCTTGGGACCCACAGACCTCGCCTGGGAGCGCTCAGTAAAGCCACGTTGTTTGGCCCCACTTTCTGGGCGTCACAGTGACCACCTTGGGGCTTCCTCCGCTTTAACTCCGGCTGTCCCCCCATCAGCTGGTCAGGGGGCCTCCAGGCAGGCAGCCCCTGAGGAGTCAGGCAGACACTGCACCCACCCCACCTGGGCCTCCCCAGGGAAGGCTGGGGGAGGTGGGAGGGAAGAGGGCAGGGAGAAGGGGAAGAGTGGGTGAGAGGGCCGCCACTGCTGAGTCGCCAGCCTGCTCAGGTTCCTACCGTCTGGGATGAAAACAGTACTTACCTGCTGAGGCAGTGGTGAGGATCAAGTACAGTAACGCGCACAGCCGCTGAGTAACTCAGAGGGAGTGATCAGGGAACGGGAACTCTTATACTAAATCGCTGGGGAGATGGAGCTAAAATTGATTGGGATCCAGTGGTGGAGCTGGATTGCTTGCAGCTGGCTCGAAGCTGGGCCCTGACCCAGCCAAGCCACTAGGGAAGTCTGCGGACCAGCAGCAAGCCCCTCAGACAGCCCACCCGCCTCCGGCTCGCACTCCGCTGCCAGAGATTTCCTGGGAGGCTTTATCTGCATAGGACAACCATGTTCCACAGTGGAATCCACACCGCACTTCCCACCACTTCCCCCAGAGCTCAGAGCAGCTTTTTCCCAGGCATTCTGGTGGTAACTCATTTCCCCTCGAAATCATTTATTACTCCTGTAAAGAGAAATAAAAATCTCAAGGATTCCCCCAGCCCCCAACTCCTCATGCAAAAGGGAGGCTCAGGCCTGGGGGCTGAGTCAGGCAACAGCCCCTCCCACATGGACAGCTGTTACTAACATTACTAGTCAGCCAGAGCCGCAGGAAAAATAAAGGCCTCGGGCATCCTGGAGGACTGCCCGCCCCACCCGGCCTGGCAGATGATGGGTGAGGAAATTCTTTGCTGGCCGCCCATCAACAAGGGCATGCAGATCGTAACTGCAGGTCTGCAGGCCAGTCTAGCTCCTAAAGCTAAAGCCTGTTGGATTCCACACTAGCAATGTGACTATGCGTTTAGCTTCCCAGGTGCAGAACAGAGAAAAGATGAGACTAAACATTCCTCCACCTGCCCAGGTCACCTACATGATTGATTCTTCCTTCACTCCCTTTTCCTCAAACAGGCCCCTTAGCTTCTGTGAAACTGGATCTCCTGGCACTAGTTGGAGCCTCACAAGAACTACTCACCTGCCTCTCTGCCCGCCCCTTTCCTCCTTTTCCTTCTGTATCCAATCCCTCTTAGGGAGCACCGGCCACAGGTGCGTCTGTGCTGTGTGCTTGTCCCGGTATGGCCTCAAACTTCAGCTTAATAAGCCTCTGTTGGTTAAGACCTTTGTCTGGGTCACTGATTTTGCATTGTCACACCTCACTGCTGCCTACACCGCCGTCCCCCTCCCCCACGAGGAGGGTAGGTACGCCTCCACCACCTGGCCCTTCTTTGAGTGTCGTGTTTGCAGGACTCTGGAGTGCACAGACATATTAGCAAACTTGTAGCCTCTCTGCCTAGTCATCTGTCCCCTGCCAGCCTTTCCCGTGGCAGAGAGCGCAGAAGGGAACCTCTCCCTCCCCCACAGCCGCACTGCCAGGCTTCCCAACCAGGCTCACACCTCTGCTTTCCAGGCTCAGGTCAGTAAGCCAGGGGTGAGCGTGCCCCCTCCGGGTCTCCCACGGACAAACTGGCACCGGGAGTCCCTTGGGCTCCTCCACGCACGTCTGACTCCTGCCCGAATCCCACCTCCTCCTCTCCCTCCAAAGGTCTCCCCATCGTCTGAGTCTATAGAAATCTTAGTTCAAACTCTTGTTTTTCTGGTGAGAAAACCGAGGCCGGAGAAAGTTGATGGTGTGGGGCGGGCTTAGGGATGCTGTGAGAGCCTCATTCTGCTATGACTCGGTTTTCCCATCTGTACAATGGGCGTGCGCAGTCAATGCAAATCACGGAAGGCTCGGCCAAGCAGTCTAGGAGGGTGGCGAGGAGAGTCGGGAAGTCCTGCCCCGCGCGGCCCAGAGGCTCCCGAGTTAACCCGTGGCCGCCCGGCTGCACCACCGAGCTCCGGGTTCTAGGCGCTCTTCTAGGCGCGCTCGCAGGGGGCAGAGGGAGGGCGGAAGGGGCAGCCTTGGCCTTACCCCGCCAGCTCCAGCAGCAAACTCGGGAGGCTGACGCCCCGCGCGCTGCGCGCCGCCAGCACGGCGGAGATCTGCGGCAGCTTGAGCGCGGCGCACACGGCCAGCGTGCTCCAGTTGCAGAAGCGCAGCAGCGCGGCCTCCATGGCGCAGGACGCGGGGTCCGCTCGCAGCGCCCAGGGACGCTCGGTCTCAGCCGCCCCGCTCCGCCCAACCCTTCCGCCTGCCCCGCGCTCGGCCGGGGCTTGCCCGCCCAGCTGCCGCCGGGACCCGCCCGAACCCGCCCAATATGCGCCCAGCCCGGGACTCGCCCGGCCTCCAACCACGCCCCGCACCGCCCCGACTTGTCCCGCCTCCGAGCCCACCTCGCTCCCGGATTCGCCCGCTACTGGAGTCGCCCCGCCTCCGAGCCCCACCTCCGCTCGGATTCGCCCGCTACTGGAGTCGCCCCACCTCTACACTCGCTCCGCCTTTAGACTCGCCCCGCCTTTAGACTCGCCCGCCTTTGACTCGCCGCTCCAGCCACCTCGTCCCGCCCATCCTGGCATGCCCCCCCGGACTGCCCCGCCCAGCGCCGCCCGCCCGGCGCTTCCGCGGCTGACTCGCGTCCCGCGCTCTCCGACTCGCGGTGAGGACCCGCCGGTATCGCCCCGCGGCCCCGCTCTCCCGCGGCTGGGGCCGAGGGCCAACGCGCGCCCGCAGGGGAGGGGACTGTCCTGCTGGAATTCCTTCACCCCAACGAGCTGAGTTCCTCTGAGCACCGCGGGGGGGAACCTGGCGGGACGCAGCGCCCCCGTCGTGTGCGTGTCCAAGTGCGCCCGCGGCCACGGGCTGGGGCGGCCGCGGGACGGCGCGGGGACGCAGCGCGGCCGCTCGAGGCGCGCCCTCCCGGAGCGGCGGGGCCGGGAACCGAGCCTCCCCGCCTCCCTCCCGGACTCCGGCCGCCAGAGCGACCCTGTCCCGGAGGAGGTGAAGCGGACCCCGCCCACCGGGGAAGGCGACCGGACGGGCCTCCGAGCAGCCCCGACTCGCGTCTGTGCTGGGGCCGGACCGCGAACCCAGGAAAGTCACAAAATGCGGTGCTGAGTCTGGAGCCTCAGCTGGGCGTGTCTTGCTCTTGCACACGCAGGTCTCCATCTCCTAACCTCAAGGGATCCTCCCACCTCAGCCTCCCAGACTGCTAGACTTTCTTCATTTTAAAGGGGGGGGGGAAGCATTCCCAACTCAGAAGGTGATTGAGAGGCATACAGTAGGTCCTCGGTATGTATAGTCATTCCCCAACAGGTGCAGACTTGCAAACCGAGTTTGGGAGTTGTGAACACTGGCTTTTGGGGGCTGGGTGGTCCTAGCTGGAGTCCTGTTTGGGCCTGCGGGAAGGTGTTTGGGTCCAAGCTCCCACCCCCCAGCTGGGACACCCCGGCAGCTTGCTGGCCCTGCAGCCCAGATGACCATCTCAGAACAGCTCATCTTCAAGGCTCCTCTGCACCTTCAGGAGGTCGGGCAGTGCTTGGATGGGGTTTCTGCAGTGCGCACCCGGGAGATCTCTCCAGCACAAGACAGTGCCATGTTGGAGACCTCTGCCTCGTCTTCCCTCCATGGCTACACTGGACACAGCCAGCTATGTGAGCCTGACCCTATGTGGCCACAGCTGAGCAGAGTGTGACTGAAGCTGGCCTCTCCTTCAGGAGGGACTTAGAATTGAGCAATGACTGACTGCATTACCCCTCCCACCCCCTACCCTCTTCAGCAGGGGAGAGTCAACTCAGGAGCCATTGGTGGTGGCCATTTCCCTCACCTTAATTTTTTTTAACTTCCTAAACCTATAGAAAGGTTGCAAGAATAACACCATGAATTCTCATGTACTCTTTGCCTAGATGAGTCAATTAGTGATATTTTAATCCGCATTAGCTTTATCTGTCTCTATTTACACACCACGTAAGTTTTTTGTTAAGCCATTAACAAAATGGGTGATGGGCATCATGTTGCTTTGCCAGATGCCTTTGCTCACACCTCCTAAGGACAAGGGTTTCTTCTACAGAACCGCAGTGTAACTGCCCCACTCTGCACCTTAACACTGGCACAGTGCTCTTCTCTCATATTTAGTCCACGTTACCTAATATCTAGTCTGCAGAGTGTCCTTCGTGGCTGCTTTTGCTTAGACCCAGGAGCTGGTCAAAGATCTTGGTCTGAACCATCCTTAATCTGAGTGACTTCCTCACCCTTCCTTTGTCTTTTATGGCATTGACATTTTCGAAGAATCAAGGCCAGCTATTCAGCAGAATGTTCCTCAATTTGGGTTTTCCTAGAATTTCTTCCTGATTACACTACGATCACACTTTTTTTTCTTTGTGGGGGGAGTGCTCCTGGGTGGTGCGGGCATTGTCACGGTGCGTCCCATGTGGAGGTGCTCATGTCACCTGTCCTGTTATTGGTGAGGGTAAGTTTAGCAATTTGGTTTATGCAGCATCTTCTAGACTTCAGCATTTACAGGTCTCTAAGAAGCCTTCACCATGGGACCAGGCATGGTGGCTCACGCCTGTAATCCTAGCACTTTGGGAGGCCGAGGTGGGCGGATCGCTCGAGGTCAGTAGTTCCGAACCAGCCTGAGGGAAAGTGAGACCTTGTCTATACTATAAATAGAAATAAATTATTGGCCAACTAATATATATAGAAAAATTTAGCCGGGCATGGTGGCGCATGCCTGTACTCCCAACTACTCTGGAGGCTGAGGCAGCAGGATTGCTTGAGCCCAGGAGTCTGAGGTTGCTGTGAGCTAGGCTGACGCCACGGCACTCACTCTAGCCTGGGCAACAAAGCGAGACTCAGTCTCAACAAAAAAAAAGAAGAAAAGAAGCCTTCACCAGATGGTTTTAATGTTTTTTATTGATTCTTCCCTAAATCAGTTATTGCCGTCATAGTCATAAATTGGCAATTTTTCTGTTATTGTTTGTTTTGTATTCTTCAATAGAAAAGAGATTTTCCTCAGTACTTCAAACGTGTAAAAAATTATTGGCGTGAACTTGTGGATTCTTAGTTTTTGTTTTTTTTTTTTGAGACAGAGTCTCGCTTTGTTGCCCAGGCTAGAGTGAGTGCCGTGGCATCAGCTAGCTCACAGCAACCTCAAACTCCTGGGTCAAGCAATCTCCTGCCTCAGCCTCCCAGTAGCTGGGACTACAAGCATGCACCACCATGCCCAGCGATTTTTCTAGATGTATTAGTGTGGCCAATTAATTCTTTCTATTATAGAGATGGGTCTGCTCTTGCTCAGGGTAGTTTCGAACTCCTGACCTTGAGCAATCCACCGCCTCGGCTCTCAGAGTGCTAGGATTACAGCGTGAACCACCGCACCCGGCGGGATTCTTGTTTATTGCTGTTGTTATTCATTGGTTCGTGGGTGCTGGCTGCGGGTGGCTGTCACAGGTATGGTCGGGGGTGGGCTATTATTGTCCTTCATGTTGATGCTCATGTTGTCCCCAATTCAGGTTGGTTCTTACGTCCCTTTACATTTCCTCAGATGCTCCAGGCTCACCTTGCATGTTCCCTGGATGAATTCATTTACCAGGGGAAGCGGAGACTTAGGCCTGCCCAGGCAGAGGTGATTCGAAAGCCACAATGATGGAGAAAGCGTCCTTCCAGCTTCGCTGTGGCTCTCAGCTGCTCGCTCTGTAGCCAGGGTCCTGCTTCCCAGTTCTCCATTCTGAACCGACCCGAGCGTTTCTTGCTCTTAGTGCAGAACTGACCTTCAGTCTCCCTCTCCCCACCAGCCACTCCCGGCACAGGCGTCCCATCTAATTTGTGTGTGCGTAGAAGTGCAGAGACTGAGCCTGGGACAGGCAGCTGTCACCAGAAACACTTGCAGGGTGCGGGCATGTATGAGCGGCTTTGAATCGGTGCCAGACCATTCACCAGGTGTAGCAATAACTCAAAGCGACCATGGGGACCAGCCATGCCGTCCGGCACCTCCTTGCCATTCCTGCAGACCCCGCAGAGCAAAACCCCTTTTAAAACCCCTGTCCTCAACCTGAATCTTTGAAATGGTTTCTTCGAGGCACTAACCTTGGCCATTTCCCCACTGCTAGCTCTAGAATAGTCACCTTCTTTTTACCACTCCTCATCCTTGTTATTGGCTTTTACAAGTGGTGAGTGGCCGAGGCTGTGGCCGGTTATAATTCCAGTCTCTTCCCAGAGCCCTGCTGCTCCCTGGCCCGTGGGCTCTGAGCTGTTCTGTGTCCTTATTGATAATGCCCGTCTGCTTTGCTAGTGCTGACGCGCAGGCTCGGTGCCCACTTCCCCAGGGCTGAGGTCCGGAGGCCTCCTTTGCTCTGGCCCAAACAAGGTGAGAGGCTGGGTCAGGACTTTAGTGCAGATGCCCTCTGTCCTGATTCCCCGGGCTCCCACTGGGTGCCGTGGGGGTAGAAGCAGCCATCCTATTGAAAAGAAGGCAGCTGTGGCAGGGAGCAGAGGGCAGGTGGGGCTGGCGTGAGGCAGCGTCTACTAGGATGACAGCACACACAGGGGCGAGGCCACAGGGGTTGGCTGCAGGGGGCATGCAGGCGGCTTCAGTGTGCTTGTATGATTCAGTTGGGCCCTTGTGCCCTAGTGACGTGCCATGAGAAGAACATGTCCAGGAGGCTGTGGGTCCAAGAGAGTGCAAGATATCTGGGTAAGACTCAGATCCAGCCTGAAATGTGGAGCCAAGTCCAGCCAAGTTCAGCCGCCCCAGCTCCATGCAGACCTGTGAGCAAGAATGGAGGTGTTCGTTACACAGCACTGTTGCAGCTGACTAGTCCACTCTGTGAAAGAGCCGGCACTGCCTGAATGCTCAGAGAAGAGACTCTTGGAGCTGGTGATGTCCCTAGAATCTGTCTCCTTCTCCCCTCCCCCCATTCCATGGCCTGGCACGGGGAACGCGACATGCAGAAGTCAGAGGTGAGGTGGATCCTGGCTCTTCACCAGCTGTGTGCCCCTGAGTAGCTTCGTTCCCTGAACAAAGTCTTTGCCTTTGTTTCCAAACCTTCCAGTGGTGACCGTCCTACCTACAAAGGAGACAACGTGGGTACAGTGCCCAGCACAGAGTCTGTGTTTATCTGTCACACCATCTGTGAGTGGCTGTGCTTCCAGGAGTGGCAGAACAGGCGCCCTCCCTGGGCCTCCTACCCTCCCCCCAGGGCAGGCAGCGAAGCCCCGGATGACCGTCCAGTCTGCGCAGGCTAGACCCCCCGCAGCCATGGTCACCCTCCACTCCTCCTGCACCTCCTGCTCCCACACTCGCCCTCAGACGGAAACAGTCCTGTTTTCTGGCTGCCTTGTGCGGATGGTGACCGGGCTACGCCTGGGCCAGGCCAGCCCGGAGCCTCCACCCTGCACACGCCCACCTGGGGAAGGCCGGCCGGGCCCCCCTCGCTCCTAGACGGGCTGCAGCTCTTCTTCCAGCTTCTTCTTGCGGGCCCCTTCCACGAAGAAGAAGTCCATGCCGATGAGCGCCTGCCCCAGGGGCGTGTCCACCCTGCTGCCCACGACCCGGTTCGCGGAGTTGGGGACGGTGTCCGAAAAGAAAGGAACATAGTCCGGCAGCTTCTCAGGCTCCTTCTTATTGCCCTGAGGAGAAGGGACAGTTCAGGTCTTGTGCTGTGTGGACAAAAGGAGGGACCCGGGGGGCTGCAGGGGCCCCTCGGGGCGGAGGACGGCAGGGAGCGGATGGCTCTCTGTCTGAAGCTTCTCTGGGGGCCTCTGTCCTGGTTTGGACCTGGGTCCCCTGCGGGTGACCTGACTCCACAGCCTTTGCCGGGCTGTCTCTCTCTTCCTTGATCCCAGAGCCCTTGACTTTCACTCTGTGACCTGCAGTGACAGAGGGAGGGACCGTGTCTTATTCTTTCTAGCCCCATGTCCTAAGATGCTGCTTCACAGGTGGTGGGAGGACGAAGGTTTTGATTTGGTTTTTTGTTAATTTTTACTTAAAGGGTAATATTCATACACAAAAGTGTACAAATAATGACTACAGTCCAACAAATTTTCACACAGTGAGCAGGACTGTGTAACCTTGCCTACATCGGGAAGTACGGTCAGCCCGTCTCACCTCCCGCCCCTCAGATGTTCTCTCTGCCCCTGTGCCAACCTGACCTTGACCTCTGACACCGGGCATCAGTTTGCCTGGTTTAGAACTTTATATTAGTGGAATCGCGTCTCTTCTGTCCGGCTTCTTTCTCTCAGCACTATGTTTGTGAGATTCAGTCACATTGTGTGTGTGGTTGCAGTTCACTCATTCTCACTGCTGTGCGACACTCCATGGTGTGAACTGTGGGAACAGTCCACAAGTTATTTGCCTGCACTGCTGTTGGGCACGCTTGGGTTGATTCCAGTTTGGGGCTGTCATGAGCATCCGGGTACAGGCCTTTTGGTGACCTCTGTCACTGATGGACGAATGAGTGAATATGTGAATTAAAAATAACCTGATGAGTGGGGGAACAGTCCTTACTCTTCCTAACTCAGTGGCACAACCAGTCCCGCCATGAGCTCCTGGCTTCCGCCTGGGAAGGTCCATGCCAAGGCGGCCCCACCCTGTGGGTGTGGTGCAGATCCCAGAGGTCATGTTGCTGTTACTCAGCCCCTGGCAGGGAGAGACTCTTACAGGCTACAAGCCCAGACCAGAAGCTCAGTGCAGGATGTCAGGCCTCACAAGCTAAATTCTCCCTCCCAGGTTACAGTGAGCTACGAGCGTGCCGCTGCACTCCAGCCTGGGCAGCAGAGCAAGACCGGTCTCTGAAAAGAGGGAGGGAGGGAGGGAGGGGTAGAGCGAGAGAGAGAGAAGGTCAGTGTGGGGTGAACGAGGCTGGCGGGTTAGGCAGGGTTAGGTAGGTCGCAGGAAGCTTTGTAAGCCACTTTGTTAGCTGAGTGAAGAAAAAACGAATATTCAAACTGCAAGCACATTGGACAGGAACACACTCGCCTTACCATGGGGTCATAGTCTTTCAGGAAGCTCCAGTTCTCAACCCTGGAAAGGAAGAACATGTTGGCAGTGTGAGTTCTCACTCTGTGGAGTCGATGCAACTATGTATCACCTGGAAGAACCAAAGAGCTTTTAAGTGAAAGCAACGCCAAGTGTCAACCAGCTACTTCGGGTACCCTACAAAATGGACAAGCAATTCAACGACTTTTCCCAGAGTGGCAACTATGGTGCCAGAGGACGTTGCAGGCTGCCTAAGGGGACCACTGGCTGCAGTCTCAACACCCGCCTCTGTGCGTTTTCAGAAGGCCACGTTAGGCGCGCTCAAGCATTTTGTGAAGAAAAACCAGTTTCCATGTCCTCAAGCCTCTGCAACCTTCTAGCATGGGTGACAGAGGAGGGTGGGGGAGGAGTGGAAAGATGGAGGGTGACCTAGACGAGGACGGCATTACCTACACTGGTAGTTTAATTTTTATTTTCATCTATTTTTTAAAAGTCAAGCAATTCTACAAGACATGATAAAGCCAGCCATCTCTGCCCCCATCTTCACAGCCCCTGAGCCGCACCTACAGTCAACCCGTTCCAGTCTTTCTGCTGTTTCTTCAAGCCTTTGTGTCCATGTTTTGAAATGATATGCTTATATACAGCTGTTTCTTAATATTTTTTTTAATTAAAATTTATCTATTGACTTCCTATTCTGGGAGGTGAGATTAGCATTCTTACCCCA